AGAAAGTGCAGCAGCAGCAGCAGCAGCAGCAGCAGCCCAAAGCAAGCCAAACCCCAGTCCCCCAGGGGGCTGCTTCCCCAGACAAAGACCCTGCCAAAGAATCCCCCAAACCAGAAGAGCAGAAAAATGCCCCCCGCGAGGTGTCCCCCCTCCTGCCGAAACCCCCCGAAGAGCCAGAAGCAGAAAGCAAAAGTGCGGACTCCCTCTACGACCCCTTCATTGTTCCAAAGGTGCAGTACAAGTTGGTCTGCCGCAAGTGCCAGGCGGGCTTCGGCGACGAGGAGGCGGCGAGGAGCCACCTGAAGTCCCTCTGCTTCTTCGGCCAGTCTGTGGTGAACCTGCAAGAGATGGTGCTTCACGTCCCCACCGGGAGCGGTGGCGGTGGCGGCGGCGGCGGTGGCGGCGGCGGCGGCTCGTACCACTGCCTGGCGTGCGAGAGCGCGCTCTGTGGGGAGGAAGCTCTGAGTCAACATCTCGAGTCGGCCTTGCACAAACACAGAACAATCACGAGAGCAGCAAGAAACGCCAAAGAGCACCCTAGTTTATTACCTCACTCTGCCTGCTTCCCCGATCCTAGCACCGCATCTACCTCGCAGTCTGCCGCTCACTCAAACGACAGCCCCCCGCCCCCGTCGGCCCCCGCGCCCCCGCCCGCTTCCCCCCACGCCCCCAGGAAGGCTTGGCCGCCGGTGGTCGCCCGGGCTTCGGCCGCGAAGCCCCCTTCTTTTCCTCCTCTCTCCTCATCTTCAACGGTTACCTCAAGTTCATGCAGCACCTCAGGGGTTCAGCCCTCGATGCCAACAGACGACTATTCGGAGGAGTCTGACACGGATCTCAGCCAAAAGTCCGACGGACCGGCGAGCCCGGTGGAGGGTCCCAAAGACCCCAGCTGCCCCAAGGACAGTGGTCTGACCAGTGTAGGAACGGACACCTTCAGATTGTAAGCTTTGAAGATGAACAATACAAACAAATGAATTTAAATAAAAAAAAATTAATAACAAACCAATTTCAAAAATAGACTGACTGCAATTCCAAAGCTTCTAACCAAAAAAACAAAAAAACAAAAAAACACACAAAAAAAAACAAAAAAAAAGGAAAAAAAAGAAAAAGCGTGGGTTGTTTTCCCATATACCTATCTATGCCGGTGATTTTACATTCTTGTCTTTTTTTCTTTTAATATTAAAAACAAAAAAAACACCCCTAACCCTGTTCCATTGTGTCCTTTTGAAGGTACTATTGGTCTGGGAAACAGAAGTCCGCAGGGCCTCCCCTATGTCTTTGGAGCTTAAACCCCTTGTATATTTGCCCCTTTTCAATAAACGCCCCACCTTGAGAGCACAGAGGAGCCCGGCATGCACTGTATGGGAAAGCAGTCCACCTTGTTGCAGTTTTAGATTTCTTGCTATCTTAGCATTCAGATACCAATGGCTTGCTAAAAAGAAAAAAAGAAATGTAATGTCTTTTTATTCTCAGGTCAATCGCTCACACTTTGTTCTGTTTTCAGAATCATTGTTTTATATATATTATTTTTTCAGTTTTTTTTTTTTTGGTTCCAGAAAAGATTTTGTTTTGTTTTTGTTTTGTTTTGTTAATTTAAAAACGGGCAGAAAGTATTTGAGAAAAACAATGTGAACTGCTTTAGCTTTCTGGGGATTTTTAAGGATAGCTTTTCTGCTGAAGCCAATTTCAAGGGGAAAAGTTAAGCACTCCCACTTTCAGAAAAAAAAAAAACAAAAACAAAAAAAAAAACCCACACACACAAAGAGTGTTGAGGACTTGTAGCTTAAAAACTAAGTTTTAAAAAACTGACTTTCTGTATTTATGATAGATATGACCATTTTTGGTGTTGAGTAGATTGTTGCATTGGAAATGAACTGAAGCAGTATGGTAGATTTAAAAGGAAAAAAACCTTTTGTGTACATTTAGCTTTTTGTATGGTCCAGCTGACAGCTCCTCATTTGATGTCGTCTTGTTCATCCCTAGCAGATAGATTACAATCCGTTGATTCGCCTAAGCTTTTCTCCCCTTTGTCCCTTAACTCCACTTTTCTCTTTCCTCCTCCCAACTCCCATCCTATAATCTCCCACTTAAGGTAGCTGCCTTCATTTCTTAGAGGGTAGCTGCAGAATTATTTTATAAAACTAAAGAAAGAATTTCAAAGGATTCTAGGGGTCATTAGGATCCTCACAGATTATTTTTGGTTGGGGAGTTGAAACTTTTTAAAGGCATATAATTCTAGTTACCTTTGTCTCTAGCCTTGTACATTTATTTTTTTATTTATCCTTTCTTTGGCTTTTCTCTGTACCCCCTTCTTTTCCTCCTTGTTTGGTAGATGCTTCAAATATTCTTTTCCTAAACTAAGGCATTTGTTTCAGTTTGTGTAATTGGGTTGTGTACTTTTTTTATTAAAAAAAAAAAAGAAAAAGTTTTGGTTAGGGGTTTGGTTTTTGGTTTTGTATTTGTGTTTTTTCTTTCCTCTCTCAGAAAAAGAAATTTCATGCTTTAAATAAAATCCAAAGACACACCCTTTCACTGCTGATGCAGAAAAGAGGGAAAGGGTTCTTGTTACTTGAGAATTTGTTTCTGATTTAAACAAACAAGACTTAGTTTAATAAAAGAAAGAGTAAAACAAAAGATTCCCAGGTTGTTAGGTGCTTCTTCTGCAAGCAGAGAGGCAACTGTTAATGACAATTCCATATACCAAAAGACACATTTTTTACTTCAAAGTTTTGTCCTTGTGTTAGGCAGTCTGAGCGGCGAGTGTTCCAGAGCGCAGCCAACGAAGAAGCAGATAGCAATGTACAGAGAGCAGAAGAGGAAACCGTACGTGAGGCACCTGTGTTTATGTTAGTATCCACATTCTTGTAACACAACACAATGCTACACATCCCCTTTTTTAATCTTAAAAACGGTCTGAACTTTGAAAGGAAAACTTTGTGCTGCTAAAACGTAGATTTTGGAGACAAATAGATGCTTTGCTGTTTCACTTTCATAGCCAAACATCAACAGACACAATCTCCCCCTTGCCCCCAAAGTGTGAAGTCCTTTTCCCCTTCATTCTCCTCCTTATGTTTCAAAAGGGAACTTTGAAGACTGTGAATACAGGTTCCATTGGTCACCTTTCAGGCTTCTTTCCCCAGTGCTGAAGCCACTCATCGACTTTGCAAAAGACTGGAGCATTCCAAGATCTGAAAATGGATTTCTTTTTTCTTTTTTTCTTTTTTAGCCGGGACTATTTTTATGAATTTGTTTTTAGATAAATGAAAGAGTAGATCTGAACTGTTGTACATATTTCTAACTAGGCTGATGCACAGTGCAAATTCCTTTTTAATTTTTTTAAGTAGAAATTCTAAAGAATACCATCGTAACTATTCATATCAGTATCCAGTTGTAGCATAAGGTGTCAAAAACAAGTACGCAAAACATTTACTGTTTTAACAAGCTATTTCCTTTAACAAGAATTCTTGTATTTCTCCCTGTGTTTGAGATGAACATTTTTAAATTCTAAAGTTGTACAGTTTTTTTGTTGTTTTTTCATTATTTTATCTTGTTTGTAACTCTATGAAATATATATATATATTTTTTGCCATTTAACTGTTGTATGTTACTCTGTGTCTGTATCATAGAAAAAAAATTGTTTTTGTTTTTGGTTCTTTATGTGACACCAGTTAACAATTAACACTAGCTTTACCTGTCAAATTCTGCTAGGTTTTCTCTAAAAACTGTTTTTAAAAATGATATTGCTTGGTAATAGTGCAATTTCTGTCCCTTTCCCTCCCCCCTCAACTTTAACTTCCTTTGTAATTTTGCTACCCCTTCCCTAATGGTTTTAATTTTGGGTGGTTGGGATTTTTGTTTTTTGTGTTTTTTTTTTCTTTCTACTATGCCATCCTCCCTCTGTGAGGCAGAGTGACTGTCAGTGTTTTGTTATGCCATGCCTTGACCTGTGGGTGTGTTTGGCAACAAATAAGGTGGTTGGGTAGATTGGCTAAGCATGCTTCCACCCACCAGTATTCCTCTGAGGGGTATGTGATTGTTTCAACCTGGAGTGGGTTGCACACTTAATGCTTTCCTCTACAACTGTACCGCCCACATGTATGTTCATTCAAAACAGAAGTAATTCTCAGCACTAACCCAGAAGTAGCAAAGCAGTCAATGAGGGTGCAAAGTCGAAGTCAGACATGAGCTGGTCACATGTTTGTGGGCTGACATCATCAGTGGCTATGACCTGTAGCATTTACAAAGCATGAATTCACTACAACGCTCAACTGTTTGGATCCATCTCACTCGGGGAATCTATTCCTGTCTGCTGTATAGTGAGTAGCTGCGTAGGATATCCAAACTCACTTTTTAAATTAGTTCGTATCCTCCATTGGCACTTCGCTTTTTGGTTGTTGTTGGTTGTTTTTTTTGTTTGTTTGTTTGTTTGTTTGTTTTTGTTGTTTGTTTTTGGTTTTTCTCAAATACTCCACAGTGTGGGTTGGTGCCAGACACATTGGGTCATAGCACCAGCTCTATTGATGCACAGAATGGGAGTGATTTTATCCATCCTTTCTCCATCCTTCCAAAAAGAAACTTAAAAGGAAAATACACACATACACATATATACACATACACACAGAGAAGAGTTAATACGTCTAGGAAGTTTTTTTCTTTTTTAATTAAATGCTATTTAAAGAGATGAATGTGGCCAAAGTTTTACACAATTGAAAATAAAGTAAAACAGACGGCATGTGTAAACCTGAGTTTTTCAGGCATGGCAGGAAGTTGCAGGAGAGAGAGGCAGTGACCCAAGCCAGTGCACTTGATGTTCATGGACATATATTTTTTTTAAATAATAAATTAAATTAAAACATTTTAAATAGAAGCATAAATTGAGTTGGTTGTTTGTTGGCGCTGAGATACTGCCCACTGTGAAACAAAGCTTTGACTAGTTTTTTTGTTTGTTTGTTTACTTTCTTCAGGGGGGAGGGGGGCAAGTTTGGGTAGGAAAGAAAGCATAAATGAACATGACCCTGAGGTGAAGAGGTATATGAACAGCCTTTGCAATGTACAAAAAAACAAAAACAAAACAAAATAAAAAAAAAAAAAACAAAAAAAAAAATAGAGCAAGTGAAACCAAAAATGATGTTCTTGGTGTTTTTCTATAATGTAGTCTTGTTAGCTTTTTTGTTACTGTAACAATGCTGATCTTGAACTGTACCAAAATACATGGAGACTAACAAACAGAACCACATGGAACTTTCAAACTGAAAAAAAGAAATTTGTCACAAAAACTTTGTTGTCATAGTTAAGTTGATTGTAGATGGTAATTGAATATACTCCTTTGAAAATATTTCATCAAGTATGTTTCCTGCTCATTGTGATACATTAAAAAAATATGAGCAAAAGTTCTTGACTCTGTTCCCAGATTGTGTGTGTGTGTGTGTGTGTGTGTGTGTGTGTGTGTGTGTATGCTCACACGTGTGTGTATGTGTGAGAGCACGGGGTTGATAGCTGGTGGAGTGTAAATTTGAACAATATCTTGAGGTTACACAAGCATGTGCACAAACTTTTTTTTTTCTTTGTTTTGCATCTCCTAGCACTCAAAAGTACCAGAAGTTTGGGCCATGACACATTTTCATTGGTCCAAGGAAGGTGTAAGCCTGTCTTCTTAGAGAATTCTTGGCTCCAAAGAGCCCTAGTAACAGCTGGATTTTTTTTTTTTTTTTTTTTTTGGAGAAGGGATCTCACTACATGTTGCCCAAGCTGGCCTTGAACTAGAGATCCTCCTGCCTCAGCCTCCACAGTAGCTGAGATTACGAGGGTATATCACCATGCCCAACTCAACTTCATTTTTAATTCATATAAACTTTTAATGTTTACGTGAAATTTTTATACACTTGGCACAACTGAAGCAAAGAGGCTTTGCTGGTGGCCAGGAGAGAGGTAGGTTCAACTTTGCTGAACTGGGAACCGGATCTAGTGTTTGTATCTCAAGGATGAAAACAGTAAGTTAAATTAAGGGGATGATTGACTACATTTGCCTGGTCTCCCAAAGGGCTTTTCTGAATATCTTTTAGAGCAGAATTTTGGGCAAGCATAGTCTGGACAATAGCAGTAGCATTAGTAATTCCCGCATGCAACAGACAGTTCAGTCTTATGATTAAAAAAAATAAAATAAACCCTCTCTTATAATGTCTTTAATTCATTAATGAGGACTTAAAATGTCTTTAATTCATGAATGAGGACCCACATCCAAGATGCAGCCCAAAGCCCCTTCATTCATCTCTAATTTATCACCACAACTAAGAAGTAATTTGCAAAGCTCTAGCAGCTGGGCTTGGAGGACATCATAGGCTGGCCATGTCCCTGCAAGGTGTGTATCATCTGCCTTTGGTCAACAGGGATTGTTTCTTTGTCAAGAGTTAAACTCTGAAACCCTTTTCTATAGGCCCAGATAGCCATTGTCAACCAAATATTTCTTCTCAGTTCCTGCAGCAGATATTCAAGAAGCAGTGACTATTCACTCAGAATCCCAGGGTTCTACAACTGGCACGAGCATCCCTAATGTTCAGAGAGGAACGATGATTCTCTGGACAGTGCTGCGACCTTTGTGCCCAACAGGTACTGTCACCATCTGTAACCCAGATCTTTATCCCGGCATTGGACCCTTCTTTCGGGTGTTCCTAAAGAAGCAGTTGCTTTCTGTCTCGGTATGTCTTCTTGGCACACAGTCATGGATTTCTCTCCCGCACCATGAGAAGGCACAATGTTAAGAATTGTTCAGAACTAAAGCCACGTCTGCCTTTCTAACCTATACTTATTTTAGGGTCCCATTGAGATGTTTTAAATGGAACCAGTTTCACAGTGAGGTTTTGCTGCTTCAGCTCCAAAGAGGGAAGGTGCCTACAATTCAAATTCTTCTACAGATAAATTTTTAACAAGAAAATAAGACAAAACTTGGTGTTGGTGGGCCCTTTGTATCAGGGAATCTAGGTGCCTAAATTACACTGAGAGAGGACTGAGTCAGAGAACTGAAGCTCTTTCTGAGAGGCTTTTTCTCTTAACGGAAAAAGAAGTCTCCCGATCTGGCTTCAATACCGTGCTCAGTGGATATTACTCTCCGTGGAATTAATAGACCCCCTCCCTTGGAAAATGTGAAATGGCAACATCTTAAAATGGCTGATATATGTGAGGTAACTGTTTCTAATTTTGCTTTAAAAAATGTCTGCAGTACCTAGTCCCTGTTATAGACTAATGACCGTCCAAATCTCACTTTTAACAAGTTAAGACTGTAAGTTACAAGAACACAAGCGGCTTAAGAGTCAAGTTGAAGGATGAGAAGTTTGCACCTGCTGCTCTGCTCTGCAGCCTTAATTATAGCAGGACAGATGTGCTCGCGTGGCCTCCACATTACTGCTGGAGGTGGACCAGCTAAGGCTCTGGCAAAACTTGCAAAGAAATTAGTGCTCTCGAGACCATTAAAGCAGGAGGCATTTCCATTATTCTTTATTTCATGATGAAGGTGGGATTTTCCTTCCCCTTTCCTTCCTCTTGCATTCTTTTTATTTTTTTTTTAACTAGAGGCATATGTTTTTAAGAAGTTTTAGCCAGTTAACTTAGGTTCCTCTGAATCTGTCATCTTGAGTTTTTTAATTACAGACAACAAAACGATTTTTTTTTCTTTATTTGTGACTATTTCATATTCTTTGTGGAAGAGATGGACTAAGACTACTTAACCTAGTTTTGAGTCTTACGTAAACCTGGGAATGAAAACTTCAGATGAACTGTTTTACTTTTGGGAAAAGATGCCTTGGCCTGAGAAATGAGTGCCAAGAAGCAGCTGGGAAGAGCAGCGAGTGGGAAGGGCCTGAGCAGAGAAAGCCCCAGGTCCTCAACACTCGCTCCTTCTGCTCAGTGAACCACCTTCCCCAAGCCCTCCTACAGCCCTCCCTTCCAGCCCCTCTGCGATGCCTTCTATTGAATGACACTTGTAAAAGTGTTTTGTAAAACTACACGCTTCTTTGCACTGTGAAGTAGGGAAAGTGGGTGACATTTACCCCCAGCATTAGGGATAATGAGATGAGTGAGGCACAGAGGCACCAACCCCTGTTGAACCTGTCCAGTGTTCCTTCTCTCCATCACACACCTGAGACATTAGAGAAGGGTAGGTGAGACTGAGCACCAAGGTCAGTTTGGTGAGGGTTCAAATTCTGGCTCCATCATTGTGACCTTGACTGTGTTTCTTACTCCCACTACAAAATGAAGTGAAAGTATCTATTTCATAGGGTGGTGTTGTGACAACACTGCCCAGTCCACACCACAGGCTCAAAACCTATTGCTACTCCTGGGAACTCTCAGTTCACTCTACTTTCTAAGGACTTTGGGTCTAGCGTTCCAACTCCTGCCATACATTTACTTCTGATGCTTTCACACATCAGAGGATGCAGGGATCTTTTGGCAGATTTCTACTCATGAGTTGTGTAAGAGTTCAGTACAAGTGTTTGGATTTCAGTATTTTAATGCCCAACCTGTTCTGATTAATTTGGTCATGAGAACTTGCAGTTTGCTTGTTTGCAGAGTAGATATGCATCTGCCTAATCATGCCTTGAAGGCTGAGCAGCTTGAATGTGTGGAGTTACAGAGTAGAGGAAATGGAATCAGTTGGGACAATTTGCCCATTGCCCTTTTGGCCATGTTCAGATGCACAGGCTGAGAGCTACCTAGCCGAAATGGGACTGTGGGAATGAATGAATCACAAGGGAAACATTATCCAAAGGGGGATACATACAAGGCAATGTGCAAGAGGACCTCTTCACCTCTAAACTTGGGAAGGAGTTTTTAAAATGCTATTATTCGTTAAATAACTTGCAAAATGAGTACCTGGAAGAGGCATGGGAAAGGAGTAAAATTCAGCACAGAATAGGCTGGAGCAGAGTGTTTGCCTGATAGTCTTTATACATAAGAGCTCATCAGTGACATGTGCCTTAGGAGACTGGCTGTGAATTTTGTCTATTTTAAATCAAACAACGATGACCTTGGCAATAAAGTTGCTAATATTGGTATCAGAGGACCAGTAAAGTGTATGGAGAATGACTGGTGGGCAATTTGCCTTCTCTCTGAGGATAACAACTGTAAATGTAGCCTTGGATTATTTCCAATAACATATATGATGGCATCCTTATTTTTCATGTATTTTTTCATTAGTTACTTATAAGATTATTTTCTTTATTACTATTACATCAAAATTTTATTAAGATGTGCCTTAATATAGTTTTAGTCATGTTTAATGTGCTTGTTGTTTGTTCAGTTCTCAGATCTGTGGGATATGACTATTAAAATTGGCAATTTTCAGCCATTATTTCTATAACTATGTATTTTTCTGCTACCTCCCCCCCTTCCCCCACTCCCCCTGTCCCAGGGCACCAACTATATAGGTATTTTGGGTATTAATTAACTTAATCCACTTAAGTTAATTCATAGCTTAGGAATGTTCTGGGTTTTTCATTTGTTTGGCGTCTTTTGTTTTTCAGCTCTTTTTCTCTTTGTGTTCCATTTTGGCCAGTTTCCAATTCTGTCTTCAAGTCCACCGATCTTTTCTTCTAACCTGCCATTAATTCTATCCAGTGTATTTTTTCATCTCAGACACTAAAGTTTTCATCTCTGGAAGTTTAATTGGGGTCTTATTGTAAAATGTCTTCCACGTCTCTCCTTTTGAACATTGTCATCCTCTGCTAATTCTAACATCTGTGTAAGTTCTGAGTTGGTTGCAGTTGATGGGTTATTCTTATTGTGGGTCATGTTTTCCTGCCTGTTTGCATACCTCATAATCTTAGATTCGTTACCAGACTTTGTGAATTTTACCTTGTTTGGTGCTAAATGTCTTTGTATTCCTATACATTTCCTTAAGTTTTTTTTTTTCAGATACACTTACATTATTTGGAAATAGTTGGATCCTTTCAGGTCTTGTTGGACAGGACCAGTATAGTAGACTAAGGCTAATTATTCCCCACTACTAAGAATAATTATTCTGAGAATTCTTTGTTCTGTGAATTCTTCCCACCCTGTGTGGGCATCTTGTAACCTCTTATCTTTTTGGCAAGTTCTTTCTTGGGTCTTCAAATAGT